ATGTCAGTGAGACTACATCTACAAAATAAACAGTAAAATGTCCAGCTGGAGATGGAACTAAAATGGTAGAACACCAGCTGTAAGCAAGCAAGACAAAGAGAGCCCAAGGCCCTGAATTCAATAACCAATACCAGCACAAAAGAAAAAGAAAGGAGAGGAGAGGAGAGAAGAGGAGAGGAGAGGAAAGGAATAAAGAAAGAACTGTGAGATGTTTTTCTGAGTAATAAGTAAAATGGAACATCTCATGATATTTATTTGTTCGTTTGTTTGTTTATTTTGCCAGTCGTAGGGCTTGTACTCAGGGCCTGGAACCTGTCACTGAGCTTCTTTTGCTCAAGGCTGGTATTCTACCACTTGAGCCACAGTGTCACTTCTGGCTTTTTCTGTTTATGTGGTACTGAGGAATCAAACCCAGGGCTTCATGTATGTTAGGCAGTACTCTACCACTAAGCCACATTCCCAGAACATCTCATGATTTTGAATACAATGCAGCTTGAAGAAATCTTCAGAACATTTTGCATCTATTATCCATAACCATCAAGACAGCTATTGAATTGTCATTGTTGTAATTATGTCATACTGATTAACTATTATATATGATTAACCTTAGTGCTATTTTGCAAATATTTTAACAACTATTATATCATGAAAAAGTGTTCAGAGCTGGGTGCCAATGGCGCATGCCTGTAATCCTAACTACTCAAGAGACTGAGATCTGAGGATCCCAATTTGAAGCCAGCCTGGACAAAAAAGTCCGTAAGACTCTCATCTCCAACTAACCAGCAAAAAATCAGAAATGGAGCTGTGGCTCAAGTGATAGAGCAACAACTTTGAGTGAAAAAGCTCAGGGACAGTGTCCAGACCCTGAGTTCAAGCCCCCGGCTAGCACAAAGAAAAAAGTGTTCAGGTATGTTAACTAGAAAGTATGTATATTAGATACTACTAGAACTTGGGTACTAAGAGAGCTTGAGAACCAGTAAGTTTATTCATTCAAAGTAAAACTTTATGTACCTGAGAGAGTTCTCCCTCTGCTTTTCATACCTAACTGTTAAGGGCATTGTTACTCATGAAAAATGCTAATTTCTGACTTTAGAGAGAAAAAACATACTTCTGTTCTTAGATTCTCTGAGAACAGTTATATTTCCATCAGAACAAATGCTCAAATATGTCCAGTAGTGATCAATCTTTGTCTTTCTAGTAATAGCTGCTTCTGACAACCAAGTCATTCAAGTGGGTCAATTAGGATTTGGAAATGAGCTTGACCATAATGTGGCTCTCTAGAGGCCTGAGATGTTCAATGCTTCATACGAATATCACCCTCTTTGTGATTAATGTGAAGTCAGAAAAATGCCCCATCATTAACCTTTTAAAGGCCAACATTGAGTTTCATCAGATCTAAGACTTCTGATCCTAACCCACTGCCCTTCCCTCGTATTGCAAAATAAACCTATAATATTTTATCTATAAAAATAACCACATTTCTGTAAATCAGTGGGCTGCTTGGCTTCCCTGGGTATAAGGAACAAATAATCAGAGAACACAGTTTCTGGAAAATGAATTTGTGATCATGTCTTCTGTCTCAAACTTCTTTTCTGTTGCTACCATGAACATCACAGACCAATGTGTAATAAATATTTATTAAGCACAAGGTTCTAGAAGTCTGAGAGCTTGACACTCACATCTGGTGAGGGACTCTATGTTATTCCATGGTGAAAGCATCATGTGATGAGGCAGAGTAAGTGTGCTAGCTTACATGTCTCTTGAGCTCTTCTCTTTTTTTTTGTTAATCATGGGACTTGAACTCTGGTGCTGGGTGCTGTCCCTGAGCTCTTCAGCCCAAGGCACTCTACCACTTGAGCACAGTGTCACTTCTGGTTTTCTGGCGGTTAATTGGAGATAAGAGTCTCAGGGACTTTTCTGGCAGGGCTGGCTTTGAACCATGATCCTTAGATCTCAGCTTCCTGAATAGCTAGGATTACAGGTGTGAGCCACTGCACCAGGGACTTGAGCTCTTCTTAAAAGCTACTAATACCTTCATGTTGATCCCACCCTCTTGACCTCTTCTAATCCTGTCTCCCAAATGTTTCCCACTCCAAGTACCATTAACATATGTTTGGATTAAGTTTCCAACAATGAAGTGTTGAAGAACACATCCAAACCACAGCACCATGCCTGGTCCAGACCTTAGCATAGAATCTTCCAGGAACTGAGCTCATCTTTAGCACCTGTGATGCTGGTGCTAGAGCTTCTCTTTTTTTGACCTTCAAGCACTCTGGCTCCTGTCCTCTCTAGTTCCTCCTCTATCTGTACCCTACCAACTCTTTCCCAGATAGAGCAAAAAAATCTAAATCCAAAAAGAGAGTCCAAATAATTGGATTCACTTTGCACAACAACCAATTAGTTTTACACCAGTCACCCTATATCAGAGATCCATGCTGATGACAATGATGGGAAAAATCAAACATGCCATTTACTGAGTACAGAGCATGTGCTCTCACCAAGCCAGGCCTTCTTCCTGCATGATGCATGTAAACTGAGTCTTGCTTCAAGGCACAAAGAAGTGACCGTACAGTCAGCAAGAGAGCATTCCAACAATTTCTCCAGTTCTTCCACCATACTAAATTGGACTATTTCACAGCATTACTTCTGACATCTTTTTTTGTTGAAATGACCAAAAGGGTAATCATACTACCTTTCCCTGCCCTGATCCAACTTAAGAGGTCTCAGATGTTCTTGTCATTCTTCGGCCCTGGGACAGTTGATGCCTGTCCAGCAGCAATCTGTCACTCCTGTTTCTTTATGAAGCTGTCTGGAAGAGAATTTACCTTCTGAATTGCTCAGCTAGTTCTTTGACATCATTTGAGTAGTCTGCGACTCCATCTCTCCTCCAATCAGCTACGACTTCTTCTCTGCAACTCCATCTCTCCTCCAATCAGCTATGATTTCCTCCTGATAGATTCATTCCTTGATTTTTTTTTAATTTTTAAATTTAATTTAGAGATAGGATCTCATTACACTGCCCTGGATCCCTACTAATTGGGTCTGCAGTTTTGTGCCTACTCATTAGTTAATCCGTGCTTCTAAATTAACCTTTCTATAATAAGCATATTCCCTTTTAAGGGATAACTTTTATCAGTCAAAATCTCTCAAGAAGCCAGCCTCTGGTGGCTCACACCTGTAATCATAACTAGTCTAGAGGTTGAGATCTGAGGATCATGGCTTAAAGCCACCCTGAGCAGGAAAAGCCAGTGAGACTCTTATCTTCAGTTTAACAGCAAAAAGTGGGAAACTGGATGTGGCTCAAGTGGTAGAGTGCCAGCTTGTCTGAAAAAGCTAAAGGATAGTGCCCTAGGCCCTGAGTTCAAACTCTGGTATTTACACACACACACACACACACACACACACACACACACACACACACACACTTCAGTGCAAGATAACAGCTATCTGAAGAGTGATAGGGAAGCCATCACCAAATGTCCATACTATACCATCAAAAATGCACAACCATCTGTATTATGTCAAAATAAAGGAAGACGTCTGCCCAGGGACATCTTCCAGAGCTCCTAATGTAGAACAGCTAAATCACATCTAATTCCTTATCACCATGCTTACTGCCTATGTTCCTCAAACTTGCCTGGTAAAAAGAATGACTGGGACACCACTCAAAAACACAGAATTCTGGGCCCCTACTGGACCTCCATATCCAAAGTTTTTAAGTTGCAGCCTAAGGATATGTGTGTGTGTGTGTATGTGTGTGTGTGTGTGTGTGTGTGTGTGTGTGTGTGTGTGTGTGTATTACCCTATATATATATACTATATATGCATTGTGTATATGTGTATAAAAGAGAGGGGGAAGGGGCTTGAATTCAAGGCCAAGGCACTATCCCTGAGCTTATTCACTCTAGGCTGGTGCTCTATCACTTCAGCTACAGCTCCACTACTGGAATTTTTTGGTGCTTAATTAAAGATAAGAGTCTTACAAACTTTCCTGCCTGGGCTGCTTTCAAACTGAGATCCTCAGATCTCAGCCTCCTGAGCAGCTAAGATTACAGATGTGAGCCACCAGTGCCAAGCTGGGATTTATATTTTTATAGTACTCTGAAGGTTTCGACCATCAGTCAAGTTTAGAACACATTGCTCATTGTACAATCAATTTTTCTTCTCTCTTGGTCTCTCTCTGTCTCTGTCTGTCTATCTGTCTGTCTGTCTTCTGTCTCTCTCTTTCTCTCTATCTCACTCTCTCTCTGTCTTTCTTCTCACTAAATCTCTCTCTGCCTACTGGAGTATGGATATGAAAAAAGTTTGGGCACCCATAAGCAGCATGATCTTTGCCAAGCCTCTTCCCTTTCATAGGCCTTGTTCTTGTCTGGAAAATAGAATCGGCCTACTAGATCATCTGATAATTTGGTCCACTGTTTGCATTTGCCGGAGTAGGGTGCATGATTAATGTTATGCCTTCTACAAATTTTTTAAGGCTTTTTTCAGTCCATCATTTTTAATTTCCAGGGCATTCACTAGGGAAAGAAAGAACTAAAGTGCTGATAGAGAATGCCTGGGGAAAAAAGCCACAAGGATAAACTCTGACACTGAAAAGTTCCAGAATGTTAACTTCCTTCACCCAACTGTGGCAGGCCAACCATGTTCGCACGCTTTTCAGGCCTCAATGTCTGCCAATGGGTCACCTTTGAGTAACACACACCTGTAATGAATAGGCAGCTCCAAAGCCTGGACTCATCCTCATACTATGGTCCCCTATATGTGACATCTTCTACTTTTGCCCCCTCCCCAATTTCTACACCTCACCTAGGCTTTTTATTCCCCACCCAGGAGTTTCCCCTCCCTTCCTCCTGCCTACCACCCTCCCCCATCTCCTAGGGGTATCTCTCTTCTACTACCCACCTCCAACCATGACTTTTTCTCCAGCAGAACCTGTCTGTGCCCTCCACAAGAACTTAACATCCTTTCCCCCTCTGGGGATCTCTCTCACATGGCTGCAGGGCCTTCCCAGTCCTTTCCTGCGCTGCCCTTCACAAAGACTCCTGGACCGGGTGGTTCGGCGCTATGCTGAGGTAGCAGATGCTGGCAGCATTTTCATGGACCACTTCACCGACCGTGATAAGCTACGCCTTCTCTACACGCTGGCTGTCAATGCGCATCCCATCTTCCTACAGGTATTTGGTGACTCTCACAAGTCCTCCATGTTGGGGGCTACCTTGGACTCCCAGGTGTCCACCTTGGGCTGAGCTCTCTCCCCTTTTACTGCTTGCATGCCTGATAGTCACAAACCCCATGCTAGTACCTTTGTGGGTGTTCAGGAACTGTGTGATGGCTTTTGCCATGTGAAAGGGCTTTGAGTGCTGTCAAGGAAAGAGATTTGGAGTAGGAGGGGACAGCAGATGCCCACCCTGACTGAGGCAGCCCCAAAGGGCTTTGTGAAGGACAGCAATATTTTTTTCCTTGTGTGATTTCTTTTTTGTAAAATATTTTAATGGGCTTGGCATGTGGCTTAGTGATAGAGTGCTTGCCTAGCATGCAGGAAACCCTGGTTTCAATTCCTCAGTACCACATACATAGAAAAGGCTGGAGGTGGCACTGGGGTTCAATAGGTAGAGCACTAACCTTGAGCAAAAGAAGCTCTGGGACAGTGCCCAGGCCCTGAGTTCAAGCCCCAGGACTGGCAAAAAAAAACTGTTATTATAAAGGTGATGTACAGAGGGGTTACAGTTACTTGTCAAGCAATGAGTACAATTCTTTTTAGACAATATCACTCCTTCCCAGTATTTCCTTCCTGTCCCCTCTTACAAGTTGTAGAGTTCATTTTCAACATAATGTCTAGTGAATATTACTGCTATATTTGTTCATTCTTTGTAAGGAGGACAACTTTGATCTATATTTCAAGAAAATCAGTGGGATTGATTGAGTGGTTGATTAGTTGATTGAGTTCTGGTCCTGGGCCTTGAATTCCAGACCTGGACACTGTCCCTTAGCTTTTTTTTTCTTCAAGGCTGGTATTCTACCACTTAAGCCACATCTCTACTTCCAGCTATTTGGTGGCTAATGGCAGATAAGAGTCTCACAGACTTTCCTGCCTAGACTGGCTCAGATTTCAGCTTCCTTAGTAACTGATATTATAGGCATGAGCCACCAGCACCTGACTTGAACTGTTGTTTTTTTTTAAAAAACATTTTCAATAGCTCTTAAGTGGAGCCTATATTATTTCCCCCCCGCCCGAATCTTTAAGCAGTGGTATGTGTGAAATCTCAAAGACCAGTCATCATTTTGCAATGATACAACTCTCCAGCATATTCTCTGGAATCCTGAGTACTGCTGAAATCATGGCAGACCCATCAGCATTCTCATACTTCATTTGGAAACACTGTTGCAATACACTCCACTGCACAGAAATGAGAGCAGCATCCTTCCCAAATCTTTCCATGTGCAATAGAATTTTTTTTAATGGGGGAAGGGCAAGAGTATTGCCAGATTCAAGAGGAATAAAAAAGATGGAAAGACACTTTGCTGATGGGTTTGGAAACCAGGTGCCGTTGTAAGGTTGATTTTTTTTTTTCTGAGAGTTCTCAGTGAGAAGTAGAGAGCTGTCTCTGAGATTTTTCTCTGTCTTTCTCTAATGTCTGTTCCTCTGGCTTGACAGATCTTCCCCGGGGCGGAGGGATGGCCACTGCCCAAGTATCTGGGTTCCTGTGGCAGATTCTTTGTCAGCACCAGTACCAGACCCCTACAGGAATTCTACGGTGCACCCCCAGATGAGGCAGCTGACCTCGCCTACCAGCTCCTTGGTGTTCTGGAGTCTCTGAGAAGCAATGACTTGAATTATTTCTTCTACTTTACCCATGTTGATGCAGCCATGTTTGGCATCTTCAGCAATGGGCATCTGTTCATCCGGGATGCTAGTGCACTGGGCGTCATCGACAAGCAGGAAGGTACTCAGCATGGGCCTGGCTAAGCAGCTGTCAGTAGGGAGAAGTCAGGGTGACAGGAACTAAGAAGGGATGACCCAAAGTCACCCTGTTGGACCTTTCCAATCTCTGTGTGCCACTGTGAGAACAATTTGAGATGTGAAAAATGTCCCTCACCTACATTTCAATGTCTGCTCCAGACCCCATTTCCAAAGGGGAAGTAGATTTGACTTGGTCCGCAAGGGCAATGTCCACGGTGGCACAGTCAGAAGTGTACCCTAATTAAATCTGTGGGGCTCCAACACTCTCTCTCTCTCTCTCTCTCTCTCTCTCTCTCTCTCTCTCTCTCTCTCTCACACACACACACACACACACACACACACCCTCTGGGCCTATCTCCCCCTCAGAGTCTTTTTCATCAGATGCTTTTAGCTCTTCTCTGAAACTTAAATATCTGCCTGCTTCACTGGTACATTTTGTAATTCATGTTGGCACATTCGCTTTTTATAAAGCTTTCAAATGTAAAAGCATGGAACCAAACGAGGTGTATGAGTGAATCATGCTTCTCACTATGTGCAAAAGCTCGCTGGCTCTAGACTCCTCTAAACATTCCAGTTTCTCATGGTGAACACATTTTCTGAGCCCTATAATAGGAAAGAAGGTTTTCCTCCATCCTTCCTTTACTCCCTTCCTTCTTTCCTTCCCTCTTATCTTCCTTCCTTCTTCCTTCCTTCCTTCCTTTCTTATTTCTCTCAATGTCTATTATTTATCACTTATCTATCACCTATCATCTATCTGTCTATCTATCTATCTATCTATCTATCTATCTATCTATCTATCTATCTGACACTACCACATTTTAAACTCAGCCTCAGTCTTTGTAGGAAGGAATTGTACCACTTGAGACAAATCTCTAATCCTTTGTTTCTCATTTCTGATTTTGTTTATATAAAGAAATCTACAAGAATAAAAGAAGGAAACCATTCCTCATTTTCTGATTAGCTTTTATTAAGAAGATACAAATTGGAAGAAATAAGGCTGGTCCCAGAACATTCCAGATATGTAAATCAGCTCCATTTCCACCTGCTGAGTGCATAATCTGACTTTGAATACTCTGACTTTGGATTTTAACTGGTAAATGAAAGCACTTAGAACAGTTTCCTTGGTTGTCAAATTCAGTAATAATAGGATTAGTACAATCTGGATATGACCTCCATAATTCTAAGCTCAACCTCAGGTAGAGGTAAGAGGGTTTAACATGTTCTCAGAAGGGTCCATCGTGTTCTTGAGCCCTAAACCACTAAACCACTTGACCTAACAATTCTCATCGGTGGTGCCCTCCTCTGAAAACAGGTTGCAAAGTGTGTAATGTTGCCATTTCTTTTTCCAGGCAGCCAAGCAGCCCCCAGGGCAGGAGAGAATCAAGACATTTTTAGCTGCCTGGTTTCTGGTTGCCAGGCCCAGCTACTGCCCTCTTGCGACAACATCCCTGACAAGCAGAGTGTGGTGCTTGTATGCCAGCAATTGTTGCCTCAACTTCTCCAGGGGAAATTTCCCTCTCCGGTACAAGTGGAGATAGACTCTGCTCTTGCCCAGTGTGGACAGGGCATCCGCCCAGACTCAGAAGTCTTTGGGGCTGCCAGTCGACTGAAGGACATCTTGAGACCACTTAGAACCTGTGACCCTAGATTTGCCTACCACTACCCAGACTGCAAGTATAATGACAGGTTCTGAGGGGGTGGAGCCTCGCTGACCTGAGGGGACATTATGATTGGTGCTCTGTTTCCCAGTTGAGTGGTCTGCCAGACAAAATGAAGCGGCTCCATTTGAAACACTAAAGAACTGATGAACACTAACTGATGAACACTAGGGAAAGAAGTTGCCTGAGACTGAGCACTGAGCAATCACACTTCCCCCCCCCCCCCCCCCCCCCCCCCCCCCCCCCCCCCCCCCCGCCACACACATACATGCACTGGCAAGACATCATGGCAGAGCCCAGGGGCTGGCATCAGAAGATCCTGGAGTGGCTACTCACTGTCTGTCTTTGAGCCTTAATTTCCTCTGTTTTCTACTGGACTCTCATGAGGCTGACAGAATAGAGAGTTGTGAAGGGCCTAGGACACATGCTCACAACCTGCAGCTTAGCTGGTTACGAAGTATTTTTTAAAAGCATGCACAGGAATGGTGAATGAGAAAGGCATGCAAATCAGGAGGGTGATATGGAGGGAATACAGGGTGAAGATGAGGATCTGGAGGACTAAACACATTTACATTTCCAACAAGGAGGACTACTTTCTGCTCCTGCTTACCCTGCCACATTCCCCCACCATCATGGGGTGAGGGGATTGAAGACCCAGCGGATATGCCCACCAAGGCCTATTCTAGAGCCATGCTTCTGGGTAGGACTCCAGAAGCATCTCGCAGCATAGGAAGGAGAAGGGGGTAAGAGGAGACAGTGGCCAATGTCTTAGTCCAGGTCACATAAGAGGCAGGTATTAGCTGGGTGCTGGTGCCTCAAACCTGTAATCCCAGCTGCTCAGGAAGCTGAGATCTGAGGATCACAGTTCAAAGCCAGCCCCGGCAGAAAAGTCCATGAGACTCATCTCCAATAAACTACTCGGAAAAAGCTAGAAGTGATGCTGTGGCTCAAGTGGTAGAGCACTAGCTTTGAATGCACAGAGGCTGAGGAACAGTGCCCACAGCAAAAAATAAATAAAAAAGAGGCAGGTGTCAAGGAAGAATGACACAAGTGAGAATTTTCTTAGGGGAAACACCCATGGGAAAGAAAAAGACAGAACAAATGAATCCTGAGAGGAGCAAGATCAATAGTCAGTGTGTCTTTGAGGCAAAGTCAGCCACCAAAGGAGCCCTGTCTTCCACGAATGGAACCTTCTTAGTATCCCTTAGTTCCCTCTCTAGCCACAGCAGGAACCATAGCCTGCTCTCTCCACATCACATGCTCAGTGTATGATTCTAAGGAGTCCCAAGAATTTTCCTTCATATTTAGGGTGCTAAGTCATTATTTTTAATGTTTTTATTGTGAAAATACCATACAGAGGGGTTACAGTTACATGTACAAGGTAATGAATAAATTTCTTATCAAGCATTGTTGCCTCCTCCTTTGTTTTTCCCCTACCATCCCTTCCCTCCCACCTCCATAACTACACTCACACACGCACACACCTAAATTGTAAAGTTGGTTTTTCAACATGGTGCCTTGTATATCCCATTGTTGCAATGGGTCAACCTGTATCCCTATTTAAACATTTTGTTTTTTTCCCTTTCCCTCCCCAAACTATAGCAACATCAAATACAGTGAAAACAGGGGTGAGAGAGGGACATACAAAGCAACAAAAAAAATAACATGGTACCTTATAAATATATTACAAACAATAGCAAGGAAGAAAAAAACACTTGTGTCCCTATCTTGGGGTTCATTTCGCTTAATTTCATCTTATCTGATCATATATACATAGCTTTTGACCTTTTCTGCTTGTCTCAGACATATACTAGTTATTGCAAATAAGGAAAACCATGGGACCTATATTTCTTTGGGCCAGGCTTACTTCACTTAATACAATTTGTTCCATCTGTCCATTTCCTAACAAATGGGGCAATGTCATTCTTTCTGATGGAGGCGTAGAATTCCATTTTCTTGATCCATTCATCTACTGAGGGACATGTGGGGTGGTTCCATATCTTAGCTATGGTAAATAATGCTGCAATAAACATAGTTGTGCTGGTAGCTTTAGTATGGTCTTGTTTGTGCTCATGTGAGTAAATGCCCCAAAGTAAGATTGCTGGGTCATAGGGAAACTCTATGTGGAGTCTTTTGAGGAACCTCCATACTACTTTCCAAAGTGGTTGAACAAGTTTACACTCCCACCAACAATGCAGTAGGGTTCCCTTCTGTGCACATCCTCCCCCAGCATCTGTTGTTATTAGAGTTCTTGATTATAGCCATTCTAACTGGGGTGAGATGGAATCTCAATGTTGTTTTGATTTGCATTTCTTTTATGGCCAGAGAGGCTGAGCATTTCTTCATATTGGTCATTCTTATTTCCTCTTCAGAGAAATTTCTCTTTCAGTCTTTAGCCCATTATTTATAGGGCAGTTATTTCTTTGAGGGTTTGTTGTTGGGGGATTTACTTTTTTGAGTTCCAGGTATATTTTAGATATGAGACCCTTGTCCGTTGTATAGTTAGTGAAGATCTTCTCCCAATCCATGGGCTTTCTATTGATCTTGCTAGCTATGTCCTTTGCTATGCAGAAGCTCTGCAATTTCATGCAATACCATTTGTCTAACCTTTCTTTGATTTGTTGTGTTTCTGGGTCTCTATTAAGAAAATTTCGGCCTGTGCTAAGGAGACCTAGGGTTTCTCCAATTCCTTCCTGTAATGTGCCTGCTTTTATTTCGAAGTCTTTGATCCATTTGGAGTTGATTCTGGTGCAGGGTGATATATAAGGACGTAGCTTTAGTTTTCTACAGGTGATTAACAAATTTTGCCAGCACCATTTACTGAGGAGGCTGTCTTTCTTACATTCTATTTTTTTAGCTCCCTGCTTGAAGATTAGGTGGGTATAGGTCTGTGGGTTCATTTCTGGGTTTTCAATTCTATTCCATGGGTCCTCAGGTCTCTTCTTGTGCCAGTACCAGGTTGTTTTGATTACTATAGCTTTGTAGTAGAGTTTGAAATTTGTTATTGATATTCCTCCAACACTGTTCTGTTCTTTCTGTTAAGAATCGTTTTTGCTACTCGGGATCTTTTATTGTTCCATATGAATTTTTGGATTGCCTCTTCTATTTCCTTGAAGAATGAGGTTGGAATATTACTAGGTATCATATTGAATTTGTAGATAGCCTTGGGAAGTATTGCCATTTTCACGATGTTGATCCTTCCAATCCAGGAGCATGGAAGGTTTTTCCACTTTCTAAGTTCTGCTTTGATTTCCTTTTTCAAGTTTTTAAAGTTTTCACCATAGAGGCCCTTCACTTCTTTGGTTAAGTTAATTCCTAGGTATTTTATTATTTTGTGGGGCTATTACAAATGGAGTTGCTTTCCTGATTTCAGCCATACTTTTCTTATTGTTGGCATACAGAAAAGCCATTGATTTTTGAGGGCTAATTTTATACCCTACTACCTTGCCAAAGTTTTGAATCAGCTTGAGTAATTTGGGAGTGGAGTCTGTGGGATTCTTTAAATACAAGATCATGTCATCTGCAAAGAGGGAGAGTTTTACTTCGTCTTTCCCTATTTGGATCCCCTTTGTGTTTGCATCTTTTCTTATTGCTGTAGCTAGGCATTCTAATGCTACATTGAAGAGAAGTGGAGAGAGTAGACTTCCTTGTCTCGTTCCTGAGTTGAAAGGAAATGAATTTAGTTTTTCACCATTGAGTATAATGCTAGCTGTAAGTTTGTCATATACAGCCCTTATTGTATTGAGGAATGTTCCATGGATTCCTACTTTTTCCAGAGTCTTCATCATAAAGGGGTGCTGGATCTTGTCAAATGCTTTTTCTGCATCTATTAAGATAACCATGTGGTTCTTATCCTAAGTCATTATTTAAATAAAATCAAGCTGGGTGCCTGGCTCATGCCTCTAATCCTAGCTACTCAGGAGACAGACATCTGGAGGATCATGGTTTGAAGCTAGCCTGGGCAGAAAAGTCTGTAAGATTCCATCTTCAAAATCACCAGTCTAAACCTAGTCTAGAAGCATGGCTCAAGTTGTAGAGCACCAGCCATGGCCAAGAAACCCAAGTGAACACAAGGCCCTGAGGTTGAAATTCTGATACCATCACAGACATTTTTTTTTGGTCAGTCATGGGGCTTGAACTCTGGGCCTGGGCACTGTCCCTCAGCTCTTCAGCTCAAGGCTAGCACCCTACCACTTGAGCCATAGCGCTACTTCCAGCTTTTTCTGCTTATGTGGTGCTGAGGAATCGAACCCAGGGCCTCATGCATGCGAGGCAAGCACTCTACCACTGAACCAACTTCCCAGCCCAACACAGACATTTTTTTTAACTGCTTAAGGTCAGCTAATAGAACATACTTTACTCAAAAATTAGTTTGCAGCCAGGTGCTGGTGGCTCACGCCTCTAATCCTAGCTACTCAGGAGGCTGAGATCTGAGGATTGCAGTTCAAAGCCAGCCTGAGCAGGAAAGTCCAGGAGACTCTAATCTCCAATAAACCACCAGAAAACCGGGAGTGGTTTGTGGCTCAACTGGTAGAGTGCTGACCTTGAGCTGAAGAGCTCAGGGACAGCACTGAGGCCCAGAGTTCAAGCCCCACAACCGACAAAAAAAAAAGTTTGTGTTATACACTTTAAATGAAACATTTAGCCACACTGAATGTGGGTTTGCAAGTATGCTATTTCCTTGGTCCTTTGAACAGTAATGAGAGACTTTTCTACACTTTTGCCCAGCCTCCCTGCCAACCCTCTACTACCAGAGACTTTTCAGTCTACCTCCTCTCTTCCACCTTTGAATCAGCATCTTGAAGGTCTGAATACCTGGTATAACAGGCCTCACATGCAGATGGGGAAACTGAGGCTAGAGGAGGAAGAGTGATTTGTTGGAATAGTTCCAGGACTTTTGCTATCAGTCCATACCTTCTTGCCTTCCTCATCAGCATCCAACTCAAACCCTGTGCTATCCAATTAAAGACTTCACTCACATTTACTCAAAAGGTCCTATTACATGATGTACCAGGTGGTGTTTGGTGTCTGCTTTTTGTCATTTCTAACTATTTCCCCATGGCAACCATGACAGAGAGGATAATTGGCCAAGCTGATGGACAAACAAGCTTTGGCTGCCTGAAAACCTTTAGAACAACTACCTTCTGGTTGGCCCTTGAAGGTAAAGTCTGACCACTCTTCTCCCCTGAACAATCATGGTCCCTCTTCCCTGCAGG